TAAACGGAGCTCGTATTGTATGAATTGTGGCCAGTCAAGTCGACGATCGAGTCGCGACGCACAAACTTTGCCATTTCTACAAGAACCGCCATTTCCTGTCACTACGGTACATCCGTCTAGGCCCGTTCATACCAGCATGTTGTCGGTGTGGCATGACGTGGTCTCTCACCGTTCGACTAACCCGAAACCGAGGCACTGCCGCCGATTGAATCGGCTCACAGTCGGCTCCACCGTGTCCACTAGACGAGTCGGCGCCTAGGCAACAGCCGGCCCGGCCGAGCAGAGGGCAACTCATTTGCCGGCACCTTCGTGGCTCAATGGTTGGGTCAGTTTCGGCAATTTGGTACGGTCCGACTCGTTGCCTGGGCTCATTTGTCCCATGTTTGCCTCGTTATCGCGTAAGTCGACCGATATTTGACCGAATCCTGTCTACTCTCGCCTTTCCCCTCGAGCAAGAAAGTCCTGTACGCGTGTCTCCTCATCCCAGCATGCGCACACATGTCCTGTATATTGAAGTCAGTATGTGTGTGTGTGTGTGTGTGTGTGTGTGTGTGTGTGTACCAATGAGGCATGAGACCAAAGACAACATTGGCACACCTGCTCTCCCGCGGTGCAATTGACAATTAGATGAGGAACTAAGAGCCGGCCTCGAGTGGTACAGGGCAATGTTGTGGGCGAAGCACGGCGAGGGAGACGGCGGGACTGGCATGAACCCGCTGTTCGGACGGCGAAACGGGGGGGAACAGCATAAAAAGTGATATAGTCAGAAAAAACTCTACTCGCCTCTGTCGACAAAGGGGGTTGGAGAGCACTTAATTTTCAGTGACTTTATGCTTGACTGAGTGCCCAACAAAACATATCGGCCTCGACTGCTTCGGCCGGTCGGAGTCAGCGGCTGGCAACCCGCCTCTCCTCGTCGGCCGGACTCGGGGCAGAGGCGTACGAGTCTGGCAGAGAAGCGGGCAGAGATGAGCTCGACCAGGTGAGTCGGAAAGGGTGGCTCGAGCCCAGGTATGCAAGTGTTGATACACCTCACCAGCACACATACACACACACACACACACACAGAGGAAAAGGGCAAAGGAGGCAGAATTGAGGGGTCATGGAGAGCAGCATCAGAAGCAACATTAGCATCATCAGCAACAGCAGCAGCAGCAGCAGTAGCAGCAGAATCAGAATCGGTTTGTCATTAGGCCAGCCGAGTGGAACAGCCCACCCGAACAGCCGAACTGTTGGTTGCTTAATTGTCGACTCGCTAACTCGCTAATTGCTCATCTCTCTCGTTCGTCCACGTTGTACCACACGATACTTGATGACAAATCGTTTGCCATGTCGCATGCTGCAGCCCACCACCAAATGACGGATGCCCATACCCCCGCTACCCTTGTCCTCACTTCGTCGCCTCATTTGCAGACTGAGACAATCATCCCAGCTCTTGTACTTTCTGCAGCTCAGCTCAACCCTTCTCTCCAACCTCAATCTCAACCTCAACCATTTCTTTAGGCGTCATTTCAAAGTCCTCCTCTTCACCTTATTCTACAAGCTTAAAACTGGTTTGATAGCATATTGCATCGTCCTCTAGAGCCTTACTGAGAATATACTTACTCATATTACTTGTTGTCACTTAAGTAGTCTCACTTTTCATTTTAAATAATACGATTGAGCTCACATTCTCTACTTGGTCTTTCAACTCAAGTTATGCAAATGAAGATTAGGAGTTTGTAAGTCGGTTTTCGAGACTAACATTCAATCAGATATATTAGCTGTGTTCATCCTATTTCATTTTACCTCAATCATATGAGTAAACCTTACGCTTCCCACAAGTTGAAAATACCTTTTGCGAAGCAAGGCCATTTGAAATTCATGTGAATGAGGAAAAATCCAACTACCAATACTTCATAACATTTAACGAAATATGGTGACCACTTCTCATATAAAATGAGAAGTCTTCTATTCTGGTTGCTGTCTCCTTTGTTCGGATAAACGTGATTCGACCACGTTTTCGCTGCTCATTTGCGTTGTTATGGTGACCTAAATGAATGCATCTTGTCCACATACTTGTGCCTCCGTAGTCGTGATAATGCCCAGTGTCGATCTCGAGACTTGCAACATTCGCAGACATTTCACCGTCATCGAAGTCGATGCACCAAACCACAACTCGTCAAAGAGACCAGTAAAGTCCATCCCTTGACCAACTTTCGGCCGAACAATTGTGGTAACATTATTTCTTTAAATCGAAGGTATGAAGACCAAGATGGTGTGACCTTTTGTGCGGTCGCAGTCTCCTTTCGTTGTATAGAAGTTGTTTCACCTTGTTTTCGCAACTTGGTCATTTTGGTAGGAAGACTTGGAGGAGCGCACCTTGTCCTGAGTCCATTCTATGAATCATCATTTCCAAAGTCGGACCGTGGACGTGGTATATTCCCAGACGTTTCGTTGGCATCGTCCGTGAGTCTCGCCATTCGTAGCACCATATTACAACTCGTCAAAGAGACAAATGAAGCCCATCCTTTGACCAAACATGTGCTAAACAAATGTAGTATCTTTTATTTCTTTTTTCTTTTTCCTACCATACTATCCCATCCATCCCTTACTCTCCCACAGCACAATTCACTATCACACTTTTTAAATTTGACTATTTCACCG